CCCATTTGTTGTTGTTTTTGAGGAGGAGAAGGAAAGAGAATTTATTACTTTGCTGTCAGAGTCCTCACCCATGGACCCTGACCTGGGTGAGAGCACAGAACGCTGGGGAAATCAGGATGCTCTATACAAGGTTAAGATGTAGAGTCTGAGAACGCCTGGAGAAAGGCATATGTTATCTCATTCCCAGTGGCAGGCTCTCTGGCTTCTTCAGAAGGCGTTTATTGATTTCTATTATTATTATTATTTTGTGTGTGTATGTGTGTGTGTGTGAGACAAAGGTTGCCCTTGATAGAGTGCCGTGGCGTCATAGCTCACATTAACCTCAAACTCTTGGGTTCAAGTGATTCTCTTTTCTCAGTTTCCCAAGTAACTGGGACTACAGGCGCCTGCCACAATGCCTGGCTATTTTTAGAGATAGGGGGAATCTTGGTCTGGCTCAGGCTGGTCTCGAACCTGTGAGTTCAGGCAATCCACCTGCCTTGGCCTAAGCCATTGCACCTGGCCTTTGTTTGTTTGTTTGTTTTGTTGAGACAGAGTGCAATGGTGTCATAGTGCATTGCAACCTGAGACTCAGGCTGTGGGCATCCTGTTGCCTCTGTCTCCAGAAGCTACTGGGATTACAGGCACCCAGCTGGGGTTTTTTTCCCATTTTTTAGGAGTTGGGGTCTCATTCTCGCTCAGGCAAGTCCACAGTGCTGGGATTACAGGTGAGAACCACCATGCTTGGCTTTATTGATTACTAATGAAAGCGCATATGCAAAATGCAAAAAATGCCAAAAGATAGGGTTACAAGAATCCCAAGTCCTCAGAAAGATTGGATAGAGAGAAAGACTGTAAAAAGGTAGGGTAGAATGCCGGCCCCATATACGGAGGGTGGCGGGTTCAAGCCCAACCCCAGCCAAATAGGTGCAGTCGGCTTGGCGCCTGTAGCATAGTGGTTACGGTGCCAGCCACATACACTGAGGCTGGCAGGTTCCTATCTGGCCCCTGCCAGCTAAACAACAATGACAATTGCAACAAAAAATAGCCGGGCATTGCGGTGGGCACCTGTAGTCCCAGCTAGTCCAGAGGCTGAGGCAAGAGAATCACCTAAGCCCAGGAGTTGGAGGTTGCTGTGAGCTGTGTGACGCCACGGCACTCTACGGAAGGCAATAGAGTGAGACTCTATCTCTACAAAAAAAAAAAAGTAGGGGTTTGCTAACAAATGGCCAATAGCATATTTAGAAACAGGAAGGGAAAAACCAGATCTTTTTTTTTTTTTTCTTACCACTCAGAAGGGAGAGAAGAACAATCATCGATGGGGGGAAAACAGTTCTATCCCTGAAGGAGAAGTAAGCCACGTACCCTAATCTAACTACCAATCAGGAGTTTAAAGGATTCAGCTCTACTTCCTGCACCACCTGTTGACTCTCAGCACACAGGGTTGGTCTGTCCTGTTAGGAGCTCTTTTCATCTTTAGTGGTCGTGATGAACCCCCAGGATGAGGGGATCGAATGGCTGCTGGCTTTCCCCTCAATACCCCTGGATTGAGGTGGGGCACCCTGCTGAGAAGTCGAGCTATCTACCTTCCATACTTTGCCAGTGAAGGAGGAAAATGGCACACTATCATCTCAAAAATCCAAATTCCTCCCCATGTGTTCTTGATCTGTGGTGTGATATGATCTTCCCCCAGAAACATATAAACTCACTCTGATGGTGAGAAAAACAAATCCCAATTGAGGGACAGTCTACAAAAAGCCTCTCCAGTACCCATCAAACTGTTAAGATCATCAAAAACAAGAAAAGAATGCCCTGGTAGGCCAGGGTAGGTGGATTGCTTGAGCTCAGGGGTTCCAGACCAGCCTGAGCAAGAGTGAGACCCCCTTTCTACTAAAAATAGAAAAAACTAACCAGGCATGGTGGCTCATGCCTATAGTCCCAGCTACTCGGGAGGCTGAGGTAAGAGAATCTCTTAAGCCCAGGAGTTTGAGGTTTCTGTGAGCTGTGATGATGCCACAGCATTCTACCCAGGGTGTCAGGGTGAGGCTTCCTCTCAAAGA